GCTTTGTTTTTGGAGGCGGCCCCGAATCGCCTCCCAGATACTTCCCAGCGTGTCTTGTTCGTCACTCGAATGCAAGCATCTGGCCGAGTCGATGGGCAGGATACCAAATGCACCCACAGACTCTCCACACAAGTATGCGTGGATTGCCTGCGAGAAACAGAGGGTATATCGACCCAGCACAGCAGAATCAAGGAGTCCATCCTCTGAATCCACCTGCGTCTCTGGGCAAGTACCGGTGACTTTTGGTCGGCGATTAATTCCCCTATCCGCCGGTTAGTGACGAGGCCACCTGGGAACGCCCCACGTAGCCTCGTCACTAACCGGCTGGGGATCCTTCAGTGAGAGAGAACCCTCAGTGAAGAGATACGTAGGCAATCTTCCCTATGCTAAATAATTGTTCATTAAACCATCGAAAATCAATCAACAAATCGGTTCGATCAATCAAATCAACATCAAATCAACAGCACATCTAAAAATGAGATGCAGTGATTATCAGAATAACGCGTTACGTGTGTCTAATGGGATTTTCGACTCTACAATTGATGTTACAGGCGGCAGACCATTTCGACACATCGTCACCATCGAAGGCCTTACCATTACTATTATAAGAAGATAGATGAAAGAAGATATCGAACTCGAACCCCCGACCGCTGAACAATTGCTAGTGAATTGGATTTTTCACTTTTCTACTACTGGAATTTTTAATTATTAAGATACATTATTGTGTATATGTACTTATAAGTTTTTCGAATTTGGGTGAAAATGTAATTGGAGGAGAATGAAGGTCACCTTTCCTTCCTACTGAGCACAAGAGCATAGAGGAGTGGTAACCGGCTTTGCGAGATGCGAGAACTGCTCTTTAGTCGAGGGTATACATTTTTCACCTGAGCCTTAGGAGAGGAAGAGCATATGGGGTGGGTGAGATGATTACCTCAGGCAAAAAGCTGGTGGAAGGCGAGAGAGTCGAAGATTCAGTTGTCCAACGACCCTATTCAACAGGTAGCGTGCTAAAATATTATTCCTACTGCGCGGCACCCACCAAGGTGCTCTTTCCCTTCAAAAGCTTAGAAGGAAAACTATTATCCCTTCTCTTGGAAAAGTTTCTGGGCATCATCATAGCGCAGAAATAGAAAACCTCCTTTTCTGCGCCCTAGCGCTCAGTGTTACCATCAAAGGGTGTCCCCTAGCCACATTTCCGCTCAAAATTGAAAAGTATTTACTAGAAAAACTTAAGAAGAGCTATGGAGAGGGATCATATTCCTTCACTGTGGTGGACCAGTTCCTCGGTTTGGTCAAAACGAAAAGCCGTCTCTTATTTTTCTAGAGCGCTCAAGCTTACCATTACACTAGGTTTGCATTAAAGGTACAGATCACGATAAAAATGGTACTTGCGATTTCTAGATAGGATGAATTCGAGGTACCCTCGCATACCATATCTGGCATCATTAGGCCGGAAAACGACATGGTTTGGGACTTATAAATATCAAAGATTGCACCGTGTGTGCCACAGGCATTGTAGAGGCTGCACCAATCACAAGGAAACCCATGTGGGAAGTTCAAACAATTCGTCATGACCTATAGCAACAGTGAAAGCAGTTCTGTACTGTTGGCTTGATGTGGTCAGCTGTTTGGCAATTGCAATAACTGGAATCACTTCTGAATACCCCTTCTATTTTATTTCCGTCATGGTAATCTCGTCCAACCTCTATTTTCTCTACATCTAATTGTAAGAAGTCAATTTTTTCTCGAAATCGGCGTATTTTCGCGCTTTCTTCTGCCAAAATTATTACCAACCTATACTTCAGCTTTTCGAATAAGAACGTGTACCTCAAAAATATCGTGAGCTTTGCCTTCAAGAATGGATCGTATTTGTAAAAGTTAAAGTAAAGAGGATAGTTTAGGAATTTTGTTAGTTTTCGGTAAGATAGATGATGAGGGATGGGTCTTAGTCTTCCGTTCCGAAGGTAAACACATAATGTCGCCCTGTTGCAACTAGTTCCCCTTAAGCATACTTAACAAAGGGGAACGAAGCACAAATTGATGCTGCCTCATGAACAGAGAATTCGAACACTTAAGCCAGATGCTTACTTATGAGATTGTCGAGAGTCATCTCAAGATTTTCATTCGTGCCTTTCATGCTAGCAATAACCTGTAAGCAAATAAAACAGTTTTTGAGAAGCTCTCGCTTTTTAGGTCGCCGTACCTCTTTCGACCATTTGCAATACTCCTTAACACGTCGTCGATCCCAACCGATTGGTGTTTGACGTTCTATGTCGCGTAAATTGTAGTGTAAGGATCTATATTTCATTATTCAAACTTTTTTGGGAAAGGGGAATCTGAGCGTTCGTTGCTACATTAGAGGAAACGAATTGGAAAATGAAAAAAAAAATTGTCAAAAAGGGAAAATGTAAATGAACAAAACGGGCAAATGGAAATTTAGAATGGCTTGACTGAGAGAATAACCAGCGCATCCTACCAATAGCCGATTAATATTCCAAGCCTTTTTTAAGTTATCATAATGGACTTTAACTATGTGCAACCATATTCACGCTGCTCATATCCGAATGGAATCCATGAAATAACGTTGGTTTTTGAGAGGAAGTGATCCCTCGAAGGCATATATAAACTGTGCTCGGACTGAAATGATGTGTTCTCGATGTTGTCTGATGCCTTCAATCCTAAATGTCAAACCAACGTACAGATCTTCTTTCTTTCCACTATTCACTTTCCTTTTCTGATAAACTTTCAGCGGAGGTGGTGTAGTGGCAAGTGGCGCGTTTCACACACGCATGACCAGGTGTCCGGATCCCGAATCGATATGAGCCTAGGCTAACCAAGCCTTCCAGCTCTCCGGGGCAGGCTAACTGATACCAGACTCGTCTGGGAGGATGAAAGCACCAACATGTACACCGACATCTGCTGCAAATCGTTGTATAGGCCACATACGCTTCAACACGCCACTACGATTCTGAATGGAAGTCGAATGCCTGGGCGCATCCCTCTGGCGGGATTGATTAATGTTCCAAGACTTTGTCCTTTTCATAACAGACTTTATATTTGAGACCTAGGAGCTGTTCTGAGGTGGACCATTACTGGTGACTAATGTAACAGTTTGAAGTTGTACGAGCTAGATCCGATCGTGGCATGCGTACGCAGTGCTTGACACGGAACAGAATTCTTAGTTCAGACTGGATCTGATCAAGGGAAACGAGCACTAAAGATCGATCGTGCTATTCTCATTTCACTCTATCACTCTCGATATAGTAACACAAGTGTAGTGCTCAAAAAGGCGGGGAAGTGGGGTTGTTATGAAAACAAAACGCAGCTTGCCTCTTACTCTCTATACGTCTATTCTGAGTGAACTCTATGATCTTCTAAACTGTTTCCTTTCTAGAGTGTCAAGTGCCAGTCTTTTCTCCTGCACCGAAATTTGGATATAAAGCGAAGAACAAAACCCATTCAACCAGCTTTATAATTCTACTGAAAGTTTTCTCGGTGAAACCCTAGCAATGTCAATACTCCTATTTTTCAGTGAACCTTCCTTTTTCAATTGTTTTTGGAACCAGTGAGCGATCTATTTTTTTCGTCTGAAAATTTCTGATTAAAGACTCGTTTCGTTCAGTACAAATTCAGAGTGGTGAAACCTTCAGAAAAAGTTGAGGTTTCCAATTCATAAGTGCAATCGAACGAGATGGAGAATACCAGTATCAAGCGCACTCGTAGTTAACAGGTCATGTTGCTTACTGAAGGTCTTGCACGAAATATAGAATCTTTGACGGGTAATGAAGCTGGCGAACAACAAAATGGGCGCTTGATGCTGGTACTTCCACCTCGTTCATTTGAATATATGAAGCGAAAACCTCGTTGCAATTTTGTCCACTCGTTGTGGCTACAATCAACAGCCAAGAAATAAACTAATGAATCAAAACAATTCCATAATCAAAATGCCGAAAAACGATGTCGTGGGGTAAAGGATCGCATCAAATTCTGTTTTTGCTTGAATTCCAGCCGCCTTAAAACTTCTCCATTGCGCCTGCTCCAGTAACATTAGATCATTACAGGTAAAAAGGTCAGCAATGGCGCGTTACTTCTCTTTTCCATTACTTTTGGTACGTGGTTTTTTAAAGGTTTTTTAGCGAGGATTCTGTACAGGAACTGCAACGAAGATAGTTGCATTATTCAGATGGCTCTGCTGATGATTAGTACGATGATTCCGAGCGCTTCTAGCAAGAAAACAAGCGTGGACAAGAAGAAACCGTGAGTACTTTCGGTAGCTATTGTTCTGTTGAAGAATAGACCTACTTGGAAAGGCAAAATTTGTGTGATTAATGGAGAAGTGATATTGCAGCTCTGTCAAAAAGGTCAAATTACTCAGGCCCAACGGGACGAGCGCGAAAGCCGGATCATCACGTGTCAGAAGATTTCACTTCTGGCCCTTCCCATCGTGAGAATTGACTCTCCTGCTCAACTCCAAGAATTGCCAATCACTATGATTTCAGAAAATGTGGAGAAAAACAACCTTGGCGTCCACATCCACCTGGATAAAATCCTCTATGGAGTAAGAACCATGTGGTCCGAAGCGTGGTGATTCAACATCAAAAAACATTGCATCAGTTTTTCTCTGGAATGGTTCGGTAGCTACGCTTATTCCCACTCCGCGATAAAACTATTCAAACAGTTGACTTTTTAGGGGAATTTTAAAATGACACGAAAGAACCCAAAAACTATATGTAGGAAAGGTCAGAACATATCTCAGCGTTCAATAATAGTGGTAGTCCCATCGAGTGAAGGTCAAATAATAACATGTCAGAATGTGATACCAATCGATCAGAGCTAACAGATGGCCTTAGAAAGCGATATTCAAATATAATATTATAATATTATAATATTATAATATTATATTATTATATTATGATATTGTAATACAATTATATATGATATTATACTATATTATATTATATTATATTATATTATATTATATTATATTATATTATATTATATTATATTATTATAAAATAATATTATAATTTCTAAATTCTAAAGTAGAATCTAACCAACGGGATTGCCGATGCTCCCTCCTTGCCGTTACAAAGTCAGCATGTGAGGGTGACTCTCTTTGTGACAAATGGTTCATTTTGACAACGAGATTTTTGAACAGTAATCACTCCAAGTTGCGGGCACTGCAAATTCGATATACTCGTAGCCCTCCTTATCTTTATACAGGGTGTCCCAAAATTATGGGTGCCAAAATCAAAAAATTTCCAAGGTAAAAATAGTCTGTCAAATTCACATTACCCGCTATTAATTATTTGCATAAGAAGGTTTCTCCTTGCAATATGCGTGATTACTGATGTAGAACTCCCAAAATCTGCCACTCGCAAACACTGACACGCGAGAGGTGGGAGGGCATTATGATATTCCTTGGGATTTTTATAAAAACCGCAAAGGAGGCCATTGAACGACACAGAAAAAAAAGAAATAGAGACAAACCAGGAAAGTTAGAGAGGCCAATGTCTCTAAAGATGGGATTATCAAAACGGTCCATCTGCCAGTCGGTCGGGATCCTGGGTGGCCCATCAAAAGGAAGACAACAGGCACGGCTACTGTCGAGTTTGCAGTCCCAGTTTGCAGTCCTAGAAAGCAAGATTGAAAGAGCGGGGGGAAAGAAATAGAGAAGGAAACTTGCGTGCCACATGCGGTCAGGTCGAGAGCATACATTGGGCCTCTATCCGCGCTAATGGAAGGTGTTTTGAAACTTGATTGTTGCTTGTTTTAGCAAATGGTGTTAGCTAACGTGCACAGGAGTTCTATCGCTCTTTGCGGCGGAGAAGCTTCAAATATATATTATAAATTTGCGCCTATAATTTTGTGACAACCTGTAAATATTCAGTTAGGCCCTGCAACACATTGAATATGTTCCTCTGAGAAAAAAACCAAAGCCCTTCTCAAATGTGAATTAAGTAAAATATAAGTATAGCAAAAAATATTGTATTACCAAATCACAAAATAAATAACAATGAAATAAACACAATGAAATTCAAAAACATGTCCAAAGCGTTAAGACTTATTTTCCAGCTAACAGGAGTCGCTGACTTAGGTTCTCATTTTATTAATGGTGGAACAAATTCGCTGTAACCGATACAGGGGTAGAGAGAATACATAGTGTCTTAGTGGAATACAGAAAGGGATAAATTCCAACGCCAACAATGACACATCGGTTACTGATTGAATCTCTGGAGACATCAAACGAACACCAGGACAGCCGCCAGCACGATTGTCAGACTTCTTCATGGGAGCTCGCAGCGAAAAAATGCTATGTCTCGCGTCGCTCGAACCATGTGGATCCACTGCACCACTTGGCTCACGGCAGGGACGAATGTAGACCTCACTTTTGCTTACTCGAAGGAACTAATGATCAACGGGCTACAGGTGTTAAAGGTGAAGAGATGACAGAATAGCCCACATTTCTACTAACAACACTCATGGAAGAGTTAAATGAACTTATGAATATAATTAAGCACTGGAGCACAAATTGCACAATGCGCTCTAAAAACTCAGCATATCAGTAAAGGCTTCTGCGATGATCAAGTTGTTCTCGAAGATGTTGTGGTGGGAGGAGATGTTTTATCGGATAGTTTCATAAATTTGATTACATCCTTCCAGCCTCGACGAAGGCAGTTTCACCAAAACGTTAGCCATTAAGGTATTGTAAACCTTGTGTGGAGTTATATAAACAAGTTACAGTACTCGCCATAAGAACTCGAAAATTCGCGCGAATACCACGAATTCGCGTCTTTTCCGTCTTTTCTCTATAAATCTATTCTCTACAAAATTTCTCCCTTAGTGTGGCCCCAAACTTCGATCTTCGTTAAGCCCAAATCATAGAACAATGCTTTTTCCCTTTTCGTTAGCCTTTTTGTAGCTGAGTTATACACTTTTAGATTTCCCGTGAAAAATGCTATCGAATGTTATATGGGTCAAACCGTGATGAATTCCTCCGTTTGTAAGCATTTTCTGATTTATATGTGGCGCAGAGCAGTTTCCTGTTGTGTTTGGAGGCGCTTGTGACCGGGTACTGTAGTGGCGCGGGGTTTAAATGGTGGTGATTCGCAGGCGAAGGGCTCCGTAGTGGCGGAAGCTGAGGGCGTTTTCGAGTAACGACTACTTGAATGGGACATGGATACGCAGGCGGGTGGGTACTGCAATGGCGCGAAGTGTTGGGGCATTTTGAATAATGATTGTTCTAATGGGGGGGGGGGGGGGGGGGNGGGGTTAGGTTCTAATTGGCGGGGTACTGAAGTTGCGAGAAGGGGGAGAATCGATTAATGATGACTTCAGTGGGGGTAAGATCTGCAGCGGACAGGGTACTGTAGGGCGATGTAGGGCTTTGAGTGGGAGTTTTAAGACGTATGATGAAGCCTTTTTCCATCGTTCATTTCTAATGTAGTCGCCTTAGATAAGTGCATTAACAGTCTCTGCACTCAACTCTCCTCCTTACAGGTTCCATTGAGAATACGACATCAATTTACGGCAAAATAATGGAGTCGACATTTTTCTCATTTTCCCCTTTTCGGAGAAATTTTTTCTCCTTAATCTGAGGAGGCGGCAGCAAGTCACTTTAATATCGTAGACAATTCTATGTGTTCGGAAGCTATTGTGGTACACTTTCCAGAGATCAATATTTCTCCCGTGGTATGGCTAAAAATTTCGCCTTTCGTCACGCCCAATTCACAAAATTATGCTTTTTCCATTGCCGTTGAATCTTTTGCAGATAAATTATATACTGCTAGTTTCTTCGTGAAAAGTGCTAACTAATGATATACCGATCAACGCGCGATGAAAACCCCCTTCACCACCATTTTTTCCCGTTCAAACTGCCCCACATCGCCACTACAGTACCCTGTCCGCTGCAGATCATACCCCCCCCCCCCCCCATCATCCGAAATGCCCTAACTTCGCGCCATTACAGTACCACCAGGAAACTGCTCTGCGCAACGTAAAAGGCAGAAAATGGTTATAAAAGGAGCACTTCGTCACGGTTTGACCCATATAACATTCGATAGCATTTTTCACGGGGAATCTAAAAGTTTATAACTCAGCTACAAAAAGGCCAATGGAAAGGGAAAAGCATTGTTTTATGATCTGGGCTTGACGAAGTTTGAAGTTTGGAGCCATACCAAGGGAGAAATTTTGTTCTATGATAGGGGGTACCATTACAGTCTTGCAGACAACAAAGAGTTGTCTACGACAGTGGAGTGCCTCAACCCCATCTCCTCACATCTGGAAGGAAAATCCCTTCAAAATTTGGAGAATGTCAAAAAAATCGAGTCAATTATTTTGCCGTAAATTGATGCCATATTCCCAGTGGGACCTGTAAAAAGGAGTGTTGAGTGCAGGAACGTATATGCAGTTATCTACACCCTCGAGCTCATAAAGCGATGGAGACTGAACAGAACCAATCAATCATTTTCACATTGAAATGAGCAAAGTCGAGTACGTGACGCAATTCAAAGCGAATTCTGAACACATCACCTTCAAGGACCAATCAGCCCCTACAAGCACTAAAGCATGCACCCCATGTACATGCAATCACTTTTCGGATAGCACAAATGCATGGCGCAACCCAAGATAAAGCATTTTCATCACTTTGGTATATCATGCTGTAAAGCTCGACGGGCTGAGTGCAACGTTGTCTTCTCTCGATTACTAGATTTTGAAGCGATTTATAAAGAAAAGACGAAAAGGACGCGAATTCGCGCATTCGCGTGAATTTGCGAGCTCTTACGGCGAGTACTGTAGTTTAGTCATGCCGAGGTTTATTGAAAGCCAAACAGGAGATAAGTCTTGACGATTTGTGCTTTAATCTGAGGCGCAGGTCACGATAATATTGAGGTTTCCTTTTTAGGTTAAAAAATAGAAGTGTTGTTATAGAATGATGCATCGGTGGCGAAGAAAGCGAGAAAATCGTCGAATCCGCAAAAAATAAACCTGTAAAAAGTAGTGGAAAATACAGGTTGCACAAGACTACTATGACGGAAATGGCATGGAAGGGGTATTTGGGCGAAATTTCAGTCGTTACAACCGCGCAAGAGCTGACTACAAGAAGTCAAAATCATCTGAAGTTGCCTTCCACTGTCGCCATGGACCATGACAAGTTGTTTGAACGTCCAACTCTACAATACCGCTGAGGCTCGTCCGCTGTAGGTGAGGCATTCACACGGTACAATGTCCGACCCCTTGCCCTATCCAGTACGTTTCTCGACCTGACATCGGCAGATATGGTATCAGAGGAGCGGGTGGGGGCCTCGAATTCATCTCATGGGGAAATTTCAGAAAAAATCTTTATCGTGAGCTGTGTCTTTGAATACATATTAAGTCCATAAGTACAGATATAGTACCGCTGCTCGAGATAGTAGCATGGCCCTATCAGCAGGAGAAATGCACATTTTCATTTTCATTGGGGTCCATTTTATCAAAAGCACCACTGCAGTAAGTGTTATAAAAGAAGGACTACTAAAACTTATCGGTGATACCGATACCAGTGAAAATTGCGGAACACACACTATCCGAATTTCTCGGAATTATAGAGCAGAGGTTGCAGACATGTTCACTCATCTGAAACATGATCTTATCATGAATAATGTACAGATGTTACTCTAGATTTGCTTTCGGAATGCTGTAAACCAACTAGTAGTGGTTGACGGATTTCACTTCATTTATTCAGAATGCAAGGTATTCAGTGAATATTTGAGTATAGTAAAAGCCGTACGAGACGGTCAGTATTGCAATGATTACACGATTAAGCAAGCCAC